TCATACCCTGCTCTTTAGTGTGCTGTGGAAATTCAGATACAGATTCAATTTTTTTAAGTATAACAAAATAATATGATCTGTCTGTTCAACTAACAATGCTCTGCTCAAATTTAAATGTATTTACCATTTCCATTGTAATTTTTCAGTTTTGCTGTTGCTAAGTGTTGCAGAGGTTGAAATAAAGTAAAATGCCATCAAAATTGATATGAAGAGTAGATAAATAAGTTTTGTAGATTTTCTTAATATTTATATGCTAGAAAGCCTTATTTACTATCTGGACATGAAATCATCTGCAGCAGCGAGGTGTCATGAGTATTAGTTCATAGGGCTTACCAGGAGAAGGAATTGCTCTGGAGTTTTTAAAGCCTCATTTGACTTCCTTTGAGCTTGATTTTTAATTTGTGGCTTTTAGTTTGTGTTGTAGTAAGAAATAAAAGGGAGATGATATCTGCCACATAAACTTCTGGGTCCATGTAATGTGTCTGGAAATCCTTTTCATCTGACCTTTTCCTCAGAGATTCCCAGAATTCATTAGAAGTACTACTCAGAAAAATGTATTTATTTTATCTAGTTGTGAGGTAGTATCTGTCTTAAAAGATGAGTGAGAAGTCAAAAGGTACTCAGCCAGTTTTTAAAGTTTTGGTAAAGTACTTAGTTAACAACGGACGACATTCTTGCTGTAAATGGGGTAAACTATTTTTAGTGTTTTTTCGGTTTTCTCAGTAATCAGTTCTTTGTTGTGTTTCTGAAGCACTAAGGTCAATTTTTATGCTGTTACAGCTATAATGACAGACCGGGGTGCAATAAACTGCAGCTTATGGCTGATGGCGTCAGTAAATGAGATTTCATGAACTTTGCTGTGGCTTCTCCTCACCACCTCTACAGCTGTCTGTTCTGCCTCTGCCAGGTGTTTCTGCCCACGCAGCAGAGCTGGCAGAGCACCTCACTTCAGAAATGCGGTCTGACATGTTAGCTTACTTTGCAGATGAACATGAAGATTAAATCAAAGTTTGCATCGAAGCAACTGAGATGCCACACGCTGGCTTCTGAAGCTGCTCTAAGAATGCTACACTTGACAGAGGGGCAAAGCAGACATCTTCAGGCACGAACGTTTTAAACAGTTGCAGCAAGATACACAAGTTCAGCAAAATTTTGTTTTGCAAGTATAGTTGATTGTGCTGGAGGTGAGCGTGTGGGGAAGCTATCTGCAATTTGCTTGTGCAAGTTTGCAATCCTGAACAGATTTCAAAATGGGCACTTTGAAATGCTTGCACCTCCAACTACTATAAAAAAGCACAGGCCCTTCTTTCAGGTCTACTCTGTCACCTTTTTTAAGCTTCAGTTTGTGGGACCCTGGGGGAAAAAATGCAGCTGAGGACTGTAGCAGCTTTTTGTTAGGTCATGACTTAAATTTTTGGTACTAAAAATCAGTCTTTTTCATTTCCCTTCTTTTTGGGGGAACAAAATCAAAATCTAGAAACCAGTGTTATGCATCTTGGCAGTTTCTTTCAGATCAGAAAACATATTTTGTTAGAAGGCTGAAATTTTATTGGCACAGTGGTTGTTAAATGTGAGGATAAATTACACTGCAGTTGCTTTTCAGCCCGGGGTCATTCAATTAATGCACTGAATTTAGAGAACTGAAATTTTGAAATAAGTCAACCTAACAGTTAAGACCAGGTTGCTGCATTGCTCATTTTGTACCTTCATTTACTCTAGATTGAGACATCTTCCTAATGCCTGAGCCTCTTTAGGTTCACCTTTATTTGGTTTTTCAGTTTGTGTAGCAAGTTGTTTGCCTGTGTGCAATCTGCTCACCACATGGTCTATAGCTAGCAGTTAGTGCTAACCAGCTGTTGCATTCCCACATAGTTCTAATTCAAATGGCTAATTACTTTCCACTCCTGCTCATAAACTCCACCTAAAGCTGAATAACCTCACTTTGGCAAATTGTAAAGTGAAGCAGGCTGTGCTGGCCTTTGGCAGGCAACTTGAATTGACTAGAGAAGCTTTTTACCCTAGGATGCTGAGGAGAGATTTGGCAAAGATGGTGCTCATCTGAATGTACAGAATAACTAAGAGATGCTTTGTGAAAGGGAAATGTGGTACAATCCAGAGAGTACAGTGGAAATTTCCTCTGTGCTGATGGTGGAAAGCTGCTTGGGATATAAAGGCTTCTGTTATTATGTTAATAATCACTGGTTATGCAGAAAAAGGGGAATACTTTTTGAGATAGGAAGTGAAGCTGTTAGTGAGTGATCTGACTTAGGGCTGGGGAGGGTTTGAGTTTGCTTCTGAGCATAGTCTTGTCCTTGTATTTTGAAGAAATCAGGTTTTGTCTCAGTTCATTTTGCTGTGCGCAGTGCCAAATGTCACTGACACCAATATATCTGAAGAAGACAGTGTTTGCACATGTTGAAAAATGTCAGGTTTGTCAGTCTGCTTAAAGTGCTTAACTATACGTGTAGTAATGTAACCTTGAGACTACAGGAAAGGTGCATTGATTTTTCTTAAAGCCTTTTTTCCCTCTCTGGAGTTCAAAATGGACTTAAAAATAGTAAAGCCTCCCTTATTTCACGCACTGGAAGCAGGTAGTCAGGATATCATTCCCTTTCTGCAGTGAATTGTTATGAACTGAAGTGCATTTGGTTCAGGGCTGTGTGAAATACAAGGCTGGTCAGCTTACTGTGCAGCAGTTTGGGATGCAGAGAAGCTTTGTAGATGTTTTGAAGTGTTTACATCTGTAATACTTCCAAATGGATGGCAACTAATGGTATTACCTGTGTATAGATATCAATATTTTAAATACTGCTTCATTATTTAACATAGCAGTTTCATAGGCTACCACAGTACTGCAGTAGTGGTTTTCAGCACTTTGTGCAGTCCTTTCAGTTATGTCTGCTAATAGTACAGCAATAATCTAAGATGTACATGAGCAGGCTATTTTTGCATGCCTTACATGCATTGTGAGGCATGAGGCCAGTGATCATGTGCTTTTAGCCTGGAGATACACTCTTAACATACCAATTTATATTAATGACTGATAGTATCAATCTCACTTCAAAAACACTGTGCAAATATTGGTCACTTGTCTCTGAACTAGGAAAAATACTGCAGAATAGTTGCAGATGTTGTTGTTTAAATATACTGAAGTTCTGTAGATTGTACAAGCTTAGTCACACAGCTGCTGAGATGGTGGGATTATTATTGTGACCAAGAACTTTGTGCAAGCCTTACTCTTTTTGTGTTCATCTTGAAGCAACTGTTCTTGAGGCAGGAGTCTGTCTTGGAGAAGACCAGAGCATCATCTCTACACTAATAACCAATCTAAGTGTCACATAGACTTTTCTTTCATTATAATGTCTTCTGGGAACAGTTTACTTGGGATTGCATGCTAAATTTTGCTTTTTCTAAATAGTTTCTGGCATAATAAAGTTTCAATATGATACCAGATAGTGGTTTTGAAATTGTTCAAATACCTCCTGGTTTATTTTGGTTTTCCTTGCTATGCTTGTTCCATTTATAACATACTGTGTAATGCAATAATAATAAAAAACACTGCAAATTACTTCTGTTCTTTTAAATGGGGGAGGGAACCACATCTTCATGCAGGCATTTTAAAACATTTATGTAGCCTTCTCAGTTTTACATATTTTTTATAAGAAAATGCTATTGGAAGAAAACTTCTTAGTTTCCTAAAGTCAAGCAATAGTGTCCTTCAGTCTAGTTAGAACGATACATAATGAAGAAAAGAATAAATAGTTCATTGTTTTTTTCCTATAAGTCATAATATGTAATTGTATGTTTAACAAAGTAGAGAAAATTGGTGACAAAAGCATTGAAAAAGTTACTCCTATGTTAGTCTTCTAAAATAGAGGAACATTTTGTCCCTGTTAGAGATGCAGTTAGTATTTTAGCCTTTAACTATAGAACTATAGTTCATTGTTTCTTTTATTACATATCACAGAATCACAGAATTTCTAGGTTGGAAGAGACCTCAAGATCATCGAGTCCAACCTCTGACCTAACGCTAACAGTCCCCACTAAACCATATCCCTAAGCTCTACATCTAAATGTCTTTTAAAGACTTCCAGGGATGGTGACTCCACCACCTCCCTGGGCAGCCTGTTCCAGTGTCTAACAACCCTTTTGGTAAAGAAGTTCTTCCTAACATCTAACCTAAAACTCCCCTGGCGCAACTTAAGCCCATTCCCCCTCGTCCTGTCACCAGGCATGTGGGATGATGTTGTATATTGTCTTCCTTTACATTAAAGGCTACACCTCATAATGCTGTGGCAGCTTGGTACTGAATATGAGCCTGATTCCAACTCAGGCATGCATTCAAGTTTGTTTTTTTTTTCCCATACTATTTGTGATGTTTTTGAATTTTATTGGTAAAAGTACCTCTTTAACAAATGTATGAATGGCTTTTTAAATGTCTTTCACTTGCCCTCTCAACACTATGATGCATGGAGGTGGTGGTATTGGTGCAACTTGTTCCTTTACCTTTTGATCTTAGGCACATGGAAACATTTACTATAGTGGGCTTTGAATAAGGTACCTGGGAATATGATCCTCACTTTTCAAGGTATTTGGTGGACAGATAATATTTAAATAAATTTAGAGATTTTTGACAAATTAAATAGAAGATTTACGTCTTGTATTGTTTGTAGGTTCTTCGGATTCCTTAACCAGTTCACTTTGTGCAATATGTTATTTTCAGTCTTTTAAAAGTAATGTTACAAAACCTTTGTTTTTTGATAGCTGTTCTTGAGCATCTTTGTTTTAATTTGACCTATAGTTGTGTGCCTTATTTTGAAAAAGTTGACTTGATTGAAATACTTCAGATTTCTGAAAAAAAAAAACCTTATTTGTTTAAAGCTAGTTGCTTGATTTAAGAGAAATGACAATCAATGCCACTGCTCTAGTGAGAAGAAAGCAAATAAAGTTCATGTATGTGTATTAACATTATTTTTCTTTTTGTTTTTGCTTTCTTTCAGGAGAGGAATAGGAACAAACAATAACTATACGGAGATGTCCTGCTAGAATTACAACACTAATGATGTAGACTCTGGAAATGCCTAATATGTCTAAGAAGACGTTATTAAAGCTTTTTTCTGCTTAAGGTGACATCTTTGAACACTTTAACACAAAATTGACTCTTCTTGTAATGGTTCTCATCAGTGCATCTGCCCTTATACTCTCTCACCAAACACACTTGAGAACTGTACCTTCGTCAAGCACTTTCTGTCCTGAAGCTTTTACCAGTATCTGCTGTCTTTTGTATTTATGCATCCTAGCTAAGGCACAGGAGACCGAACGAATGCAAGGATTCATTAACTCTTTGAATTTGTTAAATACTAACATTTAACCATTAGAAGTGGTTCAATGATGTGAGATTCACATTGCTTCAACTTAATTTTTTTCTTTGTTGTAGTTTTTTTAATTGTCAGTTTTTAGCTATTCAACAGATTAAAAGCAAATCATGCCATATTTAGTCCTGGAGTAAAACTCAAGTCTAAATGTTCATGTGAAATTATTGTAGTAATCTTTTAATATGGCAAAGCAACTTTAAGCTGCAGTTTAGCCAAATGAAACGTAACATAAAATTATATTAGAATGACATTTCCCTTGTTTCAAACTGTTTGGTGTAAGAGAATATTAATATGCAGCTTGGTGGACACCACCAGTTAATGCACATTTCTTTTTTTTCTGTAACATGTATACTGAAAAAGTGCATTTGTCTGAGGAACTGTTTGTTTGCTACCACTCAATGAATCTCAGTTTTGAGTAAATGTACCTCAGTCTAAATCAGACTTTTTATGACCTTTATAACTACATTTAAAATAATCTTTAATTCCTATTTCTGGGTGTTTGCAAGCCTGACAGATTGCTATCATGAAAGTGAAAATTTACTCCTCTAGGTGATTCACTAGCTAAATAAACATAATTCTTGTTTAGCAAGCATATACTGTTTCTCAAATCTTTTGTTTCATTGTCCCAGTGTTCAGCTATTTTTTTCCCACATATTGAAAACATTTTGAAAGAAATACATGGGGATGACATTTGTAGCCATTTTAGCAAGATTTTTTTTTGTTAGAACATTCAGTAAGTTTTAGAATGCATATTAAAGTGATTAATGCTATACTAGCTTTTAACTTCTCAAAATTATGTCTTTTGTTTCAGTTTGTATAGCCATGCGCATTGTCTGCTGGAAGGGAATATTAGAAAAATGTTAAGCAGGTGTATTGACTGTACAAAATACTGAACAGCTTGTACCAAACTCCAGGGATAGCTTTCTCTTTTTAGAACGGCACTGTAGAAGTCAGATATGTTATAGCTTAAAATAGCAATACCACATATTTGAACGTTTCATGTCTTAATGTCCAACACAGATGTTTATATTGTGTTTCGAGCCTTTCATTTATAGATTCTGGCAAACAAAGTTCTGAAGCTTAAGTTCTATAGCTTTGTTTTGAATATTGGCTATTTTGCTGGATTTTACTTTCTCTTTTTAAGCCCCTTGCTCTCTTCTGACCTCGCATACAGAAAACCTTCAGTACATGCTATTTCTTGTTATTTAAAATACTATTTTATAACGAGGAGTAGCAGATATGAATTTTAATGTTTACTGACTGGATTCTGGAAGCTCAAAACATGGGAGTGGCTTCCATTTTGGAGAAAAGCAATCTCACTTAAATGCGAATATGGTAAGGAAGGGAAAATTAAGTGCTTATTACCTGAGGAGACAAGGAGAGAAAGGTTGCAAGCCCCAAACCCTATGAAACATGGCTTGAGCCCCAAAATTTCTACTTCCATGTCTTTCTGTTTCTTGCTAACAGATTTTGTAGGTATTTGTTTCCCTCTATTGGTTGACCTATGGATTACTGCCTGTTATTCCAACTGTAGCTAATTATTTGAAGTGGCAAAAACCAATGCTGTAAGTTCAAAGAATGTAGTCCTTCTGATGATCTTTCAAGGGATCAGCATGTTTCTACTTCTTTGTTGCAAAAATATCTCCAGAAAATGCGAAGACATTTCCAGTTAAGAAAGCTGCTGTTAGTCAGGTATTCAGGAATTGATTGCATGTGCAACCTTAGTTTGCTTCCACTGCAGTATTCATATTTTTGCAGGCTTAAAGTATTTCCTGCTTTACCCCTTGCCTCTTTTACTCTATAGCATAAGCGTTGCTCTTTGAATCAGGTTTAGTATAAAATGGGTTTGTCACTTTGCAGACTTGGAAAGCTTGGAAAATGAGAGAGGATTGTAAGAGAAGGAGGTGATCACATTTAGAAAGCTGTGACAGTTCTTGTGCTGTTCCAGAATTGTTAGCAATTCTACAAATAGAGTTTCATTGCTGGTGGTATTAGTCATGTTGTGACCGACTTGCAGACTGCTGAGAGTTTAGTATGTGCAGCTGAAATGAAAAGGAGTTTTATGTGCATATAAAGTGCTGTAAAAACAGTGTATAATGTTGTAAAATCAGCTATGGAGTCCTGTACTGGTTAATGGACACTTGACACTTCTAGCCTTCAGCTTTCTTATGCACGAGTTATTTTCCTCCAGAAAGAAAAGGAATGGTGCTTAATATCTCAAATAAATGTAGAAATACTTTTTTTGGGTCTGTTTTTTTCCACACAGTGAAGCTGTCATAATGGCTGCTTGCTAAAGAAGGAGTTGCTAGAACCCTTTTTCTGTTCGTGATTCCACCTCCTTTGTGTCAGCATCAGTTTTCCTGTGATCCATCCTAAGCCAGTTAAACCAGCAGAAAACTTCTCAAACTGGGCAGTTCTGTGAGGTTGGCTGTTTACAACGGAGGTGGTGGGAGGAGGGAAGGATATAAGTTGTTCTTTCAGGAGCACCGTTGCACAGGCTAAACTGCATTGTAACTATGCTTTCGAATTGGTGAACCATATATGCAGTAGTATTGTGAAAACTGCAGAGGAGAGGGCACCCCAAGGAAAAAAACACACCACCAGATGTCTTTTTCAGTGTAAGGTTTTTGTAGTGTACTGTAAAATAACGTATCACATGTTTAGTGATACCAGGAGGAGGGAAGAAATGCTATTTTCCATTTTGAGTACTTTTTCACTTTTTTTCCACAGATTTGAGAAGTCAGAAATGTATAGGCAGGCCAAGCCTTTCAGCAATCAAGTGGGACAAATTAAAGTTTGAGCTTTGCTAATCTTTGAGTGTCTTGACTTTGTAATGTCAGCATCTTTAACATAGGATATTTTTGGTATTTAACAAGAAATAGCTTCTGTCAGTTGAATGCTCAGGTTGCTGGCTGATGCAAAACATGCGTGCTACTTTATTTTTGGGAGATTTGGATTGGGAAAACTTCAATATTTACAACTAGGTAAAATTCACTGTTTCATGTCTTTTGCTTTACCAGGCTTAATTTATCAAATACCTTCTTTCTATATATCTTGCTCTTTTTTTTCTATTTCTTTGACACTCCAGCAGTTTCATAACACTCTACAAAGTTGAGATGCAAAAGCCCCTTGCCAAAATGATATTCATCACAGACAAATCTGTCACACCAAATACGGTAAGCTTTTGGTCAGGTGCAAAAAAATGGGTATTTAGGAGGACGTATATTAAATATTTTTCATTGTTGAGTCAAAGTTCTGTTTTGAACTGTTTTGTTCTGTAGTGTACAAGGGTATCCACACTTGTAAAATATTCTTTAAAAAATTGATGTACAATCGTCAGTACATGTTTCATAGAATCAGTAGAACAGATTGGATTGGAAGGGATGTTAAAGATCATCTAATTCCAACCCCTCTGCCATGGGCAGGGACACCTCCCACCAGACTAGGTTGCCCAAAGTCCCATCCAACTTGTCCCTGAACACCTCCAGGGATGGGGCATCCACAGCTTCTCTGGGCAACCTGTTTCAGGGCCTCACCACCCTCACAGTAAAGAATTTCTTCTAAATAACTAAATCTATTCTCCTTTAGTTTAAAACCATTACTCCTTGTCCTCTCACTGCATTCACTGACAAAGAGTCCCTGCTCAGCTTTCCTGTAGGAGTTCCTCTGGGTACTGGAAGGCCACAGTGAGGTCTCCCCATAGCCTTCTCTTCTCCAGGCTGAACAACCCCAGCTCTCTCAGCTTTCCTTCATAGGAGAGGTGCTCCAGCCCTTCAGTCCTATGTGAAACTGGCAATTTAAGTGAAAACAATGAAGTGACAGTATTTTTAATTCTGTAAGTATCAGTTATCTTTATTTTGGCCCTATTGCAGCTAAGTTTTCAGTATTACTGGTAGTTCTTTAACCAGAAGATATCTAAATACTTCAGATGATTCCACACACTGTTGAAATCCTCTGTGGACTGTTTGAATTTTCTACTGCACTATTTTTTAACTTAATTCCAGGTATTCAAATACAAATTACGCTTCATGAAGAAATGGCCTTCATGTGACTTCCAGTCATTTAACCTTATTTTTGCTACCATTTTGTGTTACAGAAATACGTACCTGTTTTCAATGTCTCGTGTATTCTTTTGACAGGTGAATATCCATATAATTTACTGATAAAATTAAGAGATTAAGAGAAGATTTTTTTTCTTTTCAGTTGCAGCAAAATCTGGTTTAAACTTTGGTTTTATGTACATCAGAGTACAGTAACATATGAAATTTTTTGGCATGAGAATTGACAATTTGATCTTAATCTCTTTGAAAGTTTCAGCAAAAGTAACCTGTTCACATCCTTATTTTCAGTCTGGCATGTCCGCCATAGTTTGGTGTGGGAGAGGAGACTGAGTTGTAGGATTTGTAAGTAAGTTTGGCCACACTTAAAACTAAGTGTACAACTGACATGTTTTCATCAAAGCATCTGTACTGTTTATTCTACTTTATGTACTTGATAAAGTACATTTTAATATTATGAATACAGGCCTTTCAGTACAGGAAGTTAAATCTGTACCTAGTCCAGGTTTTTGACAATATTTTTCTTCCCATAATCCTGAAACATATGCTCAGTGTCCAGGGATCTGTAAGCCCAATATTAATAATAATACATACAACACTTGTTATTAATGTACCCTTCTATGCATAATGTTTCTATTACCTGCTCTTATCTGACTGTGTCTTTCCTCAGAAGTAGGTATCTGACAAAGAAAGACATGAGTTGGATTTTTCGTCCAATCAGTTTACCTCTGTATTTCACAACAAACTGTTCTGCCATAGTGCAAGTAGAGCACGAATGGGTTGTTCTTCTGATACCACTGATTTCCCTTTCTGGATGGAGGAAATTTGTGACAGTTTAATTTGTCTCGGTCTGTTTCAGCCTGATTTGCCACAGGAATTGGCAATGTAAATAGAGGAGCATGGATTTAAGAACTCAATGAATTGAGTCTCTCACGTGGTTTAGGCCAATCTTTTTAACCTTACTCTACAGCATTTTCTTTCAGAATGTGGAGGTGCATCGTTCCTTTGGAATTTTAATGGGCATAGTTATTTACATGCAAGGATCTGCTTTAGGTGTTCCTCTGATATTTGGTGGTGGTGATAACTGAAGTGTTAACAGTGAGTTTAAAAGCTGTTTGCATATCCTGTGTGCATTTAGACTTGTCATCTTAGTACTGACTTAACTTCCTTTGCCTGTAAGATTAGTTCATAACACTTGAGGAACTTTTTTCTTTAGTTTCATCCACTCAGACTGTAACATTTCAACTGCCTGCAGAAGTTTATGTGCATCTTGAGAATGAAGTGGATGTTCATGTAATGTGAAACAAGATGCTCTAGATTGATGATTGTACTTCAAGTGGAGCTTGTGGGCTTTCAAATGAACAAGCTGTCTTTATTTGTGCCCTCATACGTGAAGGATTACACGTTAATCTTGAACTCCGAATTTATGCATCTTTCATTTTCTGCAAACATCTGAAAGAACCTCAGATGTTTTTTTAAAAAAAAAACAAATCCTTGATTTATGCTTAGAACAGGAATAAAAATTTTCAAACTAAGCATTTGAGCAAGTTAAATGGAGGTTTAGCTTCAGTTTGAGATAATCTAATGCATTTCAACAAAATGGTAAGATAGAAGGTTGTTGGTCTTTCATTATCTACTGTAATTGTATATCTGCTGTAAAAAAAAAAAAAGAAAAACCCAAAACATTATTTTGCAGGCATTAATGTCTGCAGCTGCTGTTCAATAATACCCAAGACTCTCAAGTATTTCCATCAGTTCAGTGTAGCAGCTATGTAAAGTAGAGGATGAAAGGACTGAGATCTTTTTACAATAATACAGAATTGTTAAATTGGTTAAAATTAAGATGTTTGTGCTGTGTGACTGGAATATATTGGATGTTGAATCTATCCCTCTTCAGTTAGTCCTCTGGAAAATGTTGCTACTAAATTTTTACAACTTCCGTATTTTTTTTAACTTAAATTGGCTGCCAATTTGTTTTACAACTACTTAATTGGTTTGCAGCTTAGTTCTCATGAGATGCTTCACTGGGTCTTGTGAGTGTGGTGCTTCATCAGAAAATGTGTAAAACTAATTTCTTCAAGTTAATGTAAAATAATTGCTATTAACTTGAGCTGTATTCCATTCAACTTCATATTTCATTATAATGCTTAGTCTTTCAGTTGTATTGATCTTCTTCTTTAATTTCAACAATACTACATGAAGAACAATTCAGAACTTTTTAGTTCCTGAAATTTATGCTTATTTTAAATGTTAATAAATACCTATCCTATCTGCCCTTTTGGGTTTCTAGTGACTATTAATGATTTCTTGGAAAACTTAAAGGCCAAAGATGGAGACTTGTCCTGGGAAGTGGATGAAGCACTGGAGTACCAAAGAGAACTGACTGCTCTTCAAGACAAAGGATGTTAGCTAAGATAGTGTTGAGAGATTGATTCTTCACTTGCACTTCAGTCTTAACTTCTCAGATGCCAGAAGAATTTTTGAGTAAAGCATTAAAATGCATGTACTTCTATGCACACAGAACACCTTATTCCAGTAGAGCTCCCAATTTGTTCTGCTGGCCTGTTTAATTTCTCTCCTAAAGCACTTCAACTTTTCTCCTAACACGATTTTTGCTGTTGGTTCTATGTCAGTTTATTGTATTAGAGTTAATTTGCACTCCAGTATAAAATTCTCTACTTCACATTTTCTTTAAATAAATCATATTTTTACTGAGGCTTTGGAAGTTGATTGTTCGGCATAGGTCAGGTCCTGTCCCCATTCCACCTCTGCCCCTTTCTGCAAGGAGCAGTCACTGATGTTTTCTAAACTTCCTCAGCTAATTTCATGGCCAGTGATTTTTCTAGCCTTACCTATTTTGAGTTGCTTATCTGAACAAGCTATTCAATTGCTAGTTTATTTCTGTGGGTAATTGCTAGTCTTTGGAGCAGGTTATATTGGTAAGTTGCGTTATTTTTTTAACCTCATACTCATTAAAAAAACAGGATAATGAAATATGGTGAAGTGATTTCTATGGTAGGTATATTAAAATACGGAAGGTTTCCTAAACATGTATTACGAACACTTTCACCACTTCTATTCAAAGTCCTAGTTATCTTTCTGTGTCTCAAATCTGTCTTAATGGCACTCAGGCTCAGTAGGCTGAAAACTGTCTAAATGCTTCTGCAGTGTTACACTGTG